GCGTGCTTGGACTCCCTTGGCGAGGAACCCTAGACCCTACACCCTAACCCCTAAACCCTAAAACCCTGAACCGCAGTTCGTGGAGGTAGACAACAAGAAGAAGCGGGCTTAGAGTGTAGGGGTTGAGGGGCGGGGGCCTACATGAGGACCTATCAGGTTCAGGCTTTCGGGTGTTGGGGATAGCCCTCTAGACCCGAAACCCTACACCCTACACCCTACACCCTACACCCTAAACCCTAAACCCTAAACCCTAAACCCTCCTAAACCCCAAACGTTTAGGGCTTTGGGTCTCCTGACAACAGGCGCCATGTTCCCTGGTGGGAAGAGAGCTGGCCCCTTTTTGGGTGTTCTTGAACCTTGGGGCTCAAAGTCGCACCAAGGACCCTACCCCCAGACCCCAGCCTCAAGAGCCACCGGGCCCTGGACCTTAAACCCGAAGCCCTAAACCTTAATTGCGCCCGATAAACCCTAAACCCTAAACCCGGTATCCCTACATGACCTAAACTCGACAGTCGACAGGGCCCCCTAACCACCGCAGAAACCCTAAACCCGAAACCCTAAACCCTAAACCCTAAACCCCACAAACCCTAAACCCTAAGCACCTATCGGCCCTGATCCTAGAGCCTGAGATCCCCAAACTCTAAGCTACTTTGGGCTCTCCGGGCTTCTGGTTTCGGATGTTGAGGCTGTAGGGTTTAGGGTTTATGGGTTAGGATTTAGGTTTTAGGGCTTAGGGTTTAGGGTTTAGGGGCTTTAGGGTTTTGGGGCTGTAGGGCTGGGATGTTCCCCCCTTGTACTAACAGTCCTTAAAACGGATTATAGTACCCCTGTCATAATCCCAATTAAGGGCTGCTAGTATAAGGGGGAACATCCCAAGCTTAGGGTTTAGGGTTTAGGGTTGAGGGTCACTGTTCAGGGGCTTTAGGGTTTAGGGGCTTTAGGGCTAGGGCTTGGGGTTTTCGGGTCTTTAAGGCTTCGGGTCTTCTCGCCCCCTCGACCTTCGAACTCCAGATGCGCTCGGGCAGCGATCTGCCCCTGCACGTGCTGGAGGACGTGAAGGCGCGCCACCGCGGTTCTTATCTCATGGGTTCCCGACTACCCCGCTTTGGGGTTTAGGGTTTCGGGTTTAGGGTTCCTAGGTTCCCCACTTACATCCCTAAATAGCCTTAGTTATGAGGGGAACCGAGGAGGGGGGGGGTAGTACAGGGGGGGGGTTATCCTCTCTCGAGCCGACATCATTGGGGACCCAAACCCTGTACAATTTCTGCCAAGCCACTTAAGCCCAAACCCTAAATTCTAAACTCTAAACCCTAAACCCTGAACTCTTAAACCCTAAACTACTGGTACCTCTAAATCCTAAACCCCTTGAGCCAGCAGGAGATCCAGGTCGTGGACTCAACCCTACACTTTAACGCAAAACCCCTAAACTACTGGTACCTCGAAACCCTAAACCCCCCTTAAGCCTCCCCACCAGGAGATCCAGGTCGTGGACTCTGTGGCACTCTTTGCCGCAGTTCGCAAAGACGACTCGGTCGTGATCTGGGGCGACCGCGCGCCTCTGGCCGAATCATGCGCCGGACCGACACGCCCAAGCTTAGACAGGGTTTGGGGTTTAGGGTATAGGATTTAGGTTTAGGGTTCAGGGTGTACAAAGCTTCAACCTAAACAGCGTCTACGGCCCTCAGGCAAGGGTTTAGGGTGTACTGTTTGGGGCTTGGGGTTCAGGGTTTCGGGCTTAAGGTGTTTTTTAGGCTTCAGAGTTTGGGGTCTGTGGTTTAGATGGGTTTAGGGTAGTCTGGTTTAGGGTTAAAAGGGTATGGCAAGGTGTGCAGCACAGCGCAAAGGTTGTGGAAGTTCGCCTTATGCTCAAACGCAAAAGTCTGGTTAGATGGCTACTCCCCCCTTCAACTTCAACCATTTGTCCTAAGGAGGGGGAGTACAGGGGTCGAGGACAGCCGCAGTCGAAGCCCTAAACCCTACACCCTAGGTGCTGTAACTTCAGCTCTTTTGTAAGCCCGGCCCCAAATTCCTTGCTGCGTGGGGCTTTAGGGTTTACCGCAACCCTGAACCCTGAACCCTGAACCCTAAACCCTAAATCCTAGACCCTAACCCTAAACCCTAAACCCTAAACCCAAAACCCTAAACCCTAGACCCTAAACCCTAAACCCGAAACCCTAAACCCTAAACCCTAAACCCCAGGCCTTCGGCCAGCATCTGCACGTCGCGCGCGCGGACCTGGAGTGCTTGCAGGAGACGCAGGTGGCGAGCAAAGGCCACCAGGGGTTTAGGGTGCCTAAGCCCCAAACCCCAAACCCCAAACCCCAAACCCCAAACCCCAAACCCCAAACCCCAAACCCCAAACCCTAAACCCTAAACCCTAAACCCTAAACCCTAAACCCTCAACCCTCAACCCTAAACCCTAAACCCTAAACCCTAAACCCAGCTAGGGTTTAGAGCTGTAGGGGCTTCGGGTGCTTTCCGGGTGTAGGCTTAAGGGGAAATGCCTCACGCGGCAAGCCCGAGAGGCCTCGAAAGCCCTCAACAACGGTCTAGGGTTTAGGGTGTAGGGTTTAGGGTATAGGGTTTAGGGTTTAGGATATAGGGTTTAGGGTTTAGGGTTTAGGGCTGAACCGAAAAAAGCCTGTCTTGAGTTTAGGCTCGCCCACTGCTCCAAGCATCATATAGTGCGCGTGGTGATGCTTTTGAGTGACGGTTTTTTTCATTCCAGCCGCAATGTGCATGTGGTAGTCCACGACAAGGTTCCAGGCGTTCCAGGGGCAACTGTTGATCTCCCAGTGGGCCCTTCCTTGTCCCTTTTGTTGGGGTCCCAGCTTTGAGAAGCTGCCCAATGCCACAAAGGGAGCCCTTATAAACAAACCCTAAACCCGAAATCAACCGTAAACCCCAAACCCCAAACCCCAAACCCCAAACCCCAAACCCCAAACCCTAAACCCTAAACCCCAAACCCCAAACCCTAAACCCTGTTGGGATCCCCCACTTCGCGCGTCGAATGCTCTCGAGGGGCCGTGGCCACGGTACTCCTCGACGGCTCGGTGAAGACGCGCGGGCGGCCGGACCCGGATTCGGACGAAAATGTCCAGAAAACCCTGAAAGGGTTTAGGGTTTAGGGTTTAGGGTTTAGGGTTTAGGGTTCGGGCAGCTGGGGCCCCCCCAAGGTAAATCCAAAGGGAGAGGAGTATTCGGGGCATCCCGTGTTTGGCATCGCGCGGAGAAGGTCCAGAGGTTTGCTCCCTAGGGTTTGCTGTTTGCTGTCAACCCTAAGTGCGGAGGGTGGTTTGGTTTAGGTTGAGGGTTGAGGGTTGAGGGTTGAGGGTTGAGGGTTGAGGGTTTAGGGTTTAGGGTTTAGGGTTTAGGGTTTAGGGTTTAGGGTTTAGCGTTTATAGGGTTTAGGGTTTAGGATTTAGGGTTAAGAATTTAGGGTTTAGGGTGTAGGGTTGAGGTTAATCCCTGGTCAAACCCAAACCCGGGGCCTTTCTTGTTTGAATAGGCATTTGTGCCAGTTTATAGGATTTAGAGTTGAGGGTTCAGGGTTTATGGCATATCTTAATAGGGATTCTCAGGGAATAGTCTTGCAATCATGTAGGCTCCCGTGCTGCGCCGAACCTCGGAAGACCTTTTGCCTCGCGCTTCCGTTTCAGGGTTTAGGATTTAGGGTTTAGGGTTTAGGGTTTAGGGTTTAGGGTTTAGGGTTTAGGGTTTGGGGTTTCTTCCAGGGCATAGGCTTTGACATGTCGTTCAGGGCATGGGGCTTGGGAGTTTGCGCGAATCGTGGCTTGAGGGGTTCCCTGCTTGTTGTGGTTTAGGGTCCTAGACCCCCCGAGGCCCTAAAACCTAAACCCTAAACCCTAAACCCGAAACCCTATCCCTAAACCCTAAACCCGAAACCCTAAACCCCGAATCCCTAAATCCTAAAGGGTCCCGGGCGAGCAAGAAGGACTACGGCGGGGATTGCAGCTGGGCGCAAGGCCACCTGCCCCTTCGGCATATTAAAGCAAATCGGACGGAGGTTTGCTTGGGCTTTGGGGTGTAGGGTGTAGGGTTTAGGGTTTCGGGTTTAGGGCTTAGGGTTTACGGTTACGGTTTAGGAAGGGTTTGGGGTTTAGGGTGGTTTCGGTTTAGGAAGAGTGTGGGGTTCAGGGCTTTAGGGTTGAGGGTTTCGGGTTGTGGTTTAGGGAGCTCCCCGTTCATGACCCTGTCAAGGAACTTACAATGAAGTTCCAATAAAAAGGAATAGAAGGGGTTGATTTTCGAAAACAGTGATACAGTGCCGTTGTCATGGTAACTTAGTTTAAGCTCCTTCACAAGAACCCGGGACAATTGCGCGCTGTGTTTTTGTGGTGTCTTTTTCATGTTGCGGCCTCTTGGCATACCAGAATGAGACCAACAAAGGGTTTGAACATAATTTTTACTGCTTATTACCCTTACAATCCCTATATGCTCGTTTTTAAGCCGCGAAATCTACTTTCTTTATTATGGGGCCCCCCAAACCTACCCCGGTTTCAGGGTTCCTGGCTCCATGCGTTGCCTTTCACTTGCCCGCAGCATTCGGCTTACAGCGGCTTCGCGTCATCCGCCTCCGCATCACCTTCGCCCCTTTACCGTCGCCATGCTCCGCACCATTCTCTCCGCTGTTGCTTGGCAACTGAGTGGTACCCTTTGCTTTTTTCGGGGTTTCGGGTTAACTTGTAAAAGTAACCAGCCCCAAAAAGGGTACTTGGAGGTTCATGATACTCAATAACCCAATTGCAACCCCGTTAGGGTACTCAAAGAATGGGGTACTTAGTGCCCTGAACCTCCAAGTACCCTTATAATAATACTTATTATTCTTATTATTCTTATTATTCTTATTATTCTTATTATTCTTATTATTCTTATCATTCTTATTATTCTTATTATTCTTATTCTTCTTATTATTCTTACTATTCTTATGATTCTTACTAGTATTACTATTATTATTATACAGTTTCTGGGCTACCAAGGTTGCTTTCATCGCAGCGGAGGCTTCGTGCCCGCACGACGAGTGCCCGGCACAGAGTGAAGCCCTGATCCAGCACCACGTGACGCAGCAGAAGGTCCAGACCACTGGGTACGAGATTGGAGGTAGGGAACCCTAAACCCTAAACCCTAAACCCTAAACCCTAAACCCTAAACCCTAAACCCTAAACCCTAAACCCTAAACCCTAAACCCTAAACCCTAAACCCTAAACCCTAAACCCTAAACAGGAGACAACACCCAGAGCTGCGGCCCTGACCGCGTGCGCCTTGAGTCGCCCGAAGAGTGCGAGGAGGCTGCTGGCGCCTTGGGCAAGCGACCAGGATGAACTTGAGGGTTTAGGGTTTAGGGCTAGGGTTTAGGTTCTAAGGTTTAGGGTTTAGGGCTAGGGTTTAGGGTTCTAGGGTTTAGGGTTTAGGGTTTAGGGTTTAGGGCTTGGGAACTGGGGTTTAGGGTTTAGGGCTAGGGTTTAGGGCTTGGGATTTTGGATTTAGGGTTTGGTGTTTAGGGTTTTAGGGTTCAGGGTTTAGGGTTTTAGGGTTTAGGGTTCAGAGTTTCGGGGTTTTAAGTTTTAAGGTTTTAAGGGCTTTTGTGTTTAGGGTTCAGGCCAAGTTAGAATGAAACTTGAGTGTTTTTTCGCGCGATAAAAATGCTCAGATTTGTTTCCAACCTGGCCAGGATGAACTTGAGGGTTTTTTGTGTTCAGGGTTCAGGGTTTAGACTCTTATCCCAATGGCCCATTCCGTTGAAGGACCCTAAGCCCTAAACCTTAAACAAACCCCAGACGTACTAGGAATAGGAACCCTTAAAGGGACCATAGTGTGAGAGAGACCCCCCCCCCTGTCCACATCCTTCTGACAACATGCAGCACAACCTAAAGAAACACAACTGCACACGACTTTTCAACCACTGGTATGCCTATACACGTTCATGGTAGTCTGTGTGAGGATGTTTCCAAATTAGGGCTCTTACTTGAAAATACACGGACTTTACAGTGAGATTTTGTCATAAAGCCCTAGATCCTTGGTTCCTACTACAAGCATGTTACAGGGCTTGTGATTTAGACGTTCAGGGTTCGGGTCATCATGCGTTCATTCCTTCTGACACTTGAGATGAGGACTTTCGGCTACACAGGCTCATATGCTGGCTGGCCGAGGTACTGCTTCATGCGCCTTGTCTGTGGATGAGACGTTTGGCCCTCCAGGCTCTTGCCCTGGAGGGGTTTGAGGTCAGGGTTCAGGGCAAGCAACAACGAGTGATAGGAACCCTAAACCCTAAACCCTAAACCCTAAACCCTAAACCCTAAACCCTAAACCCTAAACCCTAAATCCTTAACCCTAAAACCCTAAACCCCAGAACCGAGGTACCGGGATCTCTTCTACTTCAACAACAATGCGGTTTCGTCTTCATCCCGGGATGACGCCCGGCTGATTTGCGAGCGCATCGAGGCGACCACGACAACGACCACCACCAGCATCGACCACCCGACTCTTAGCTGGGGTTGAGGGGCTGTCGGGGTTTGGGGGTTTAGGGTTTAGGGTTTAGGGTTTCGGGTTTCGGGTTTAGGGTTTAGAGTTTGGGCGGGATAAAATCGGTGAACGGATCAGAAACCAGCCTGCGAATCAGAAGCCGCGAATGAGAACCCCGCCGCGAATCAGAAGCTAAGAGTCAGAAGCCAGCGCGAATCAGAAACAGCACGTCCGAAACTGGCCGCATCAGAACGAACGGCAAGAAACTGGGTGGGGGGCTGGTTGCTGGGAGGGGGGCCTCAAAGCGGGAAAGCCATAGCATCAGAAACCTGTCGGTTTCCGAAGCAGCCGTCTCTTGGTTTGCAAGGCTCCTGTCCTAGGTCCTAGTTCGAATTCAGCCCTAAACCCTAAACCTAAACCTTAAAACCCTAAACCCTAAACCCTAAACCCTAAACCCTAAACCCTAAACCCTAAACCCTCAACCCTAAACCCTAAACCCTAAACCCTAAACCCTAAACCCTCAACCCTCAACCCTAAACCCTAAACCCTAAACCCTAAACCCTAAACCCTAAACCCTAAACCCTAAACCCTAAACGAGGAATGTCGTGAGCTACGAGCTCGGCCTCCCGGGTGCCATGGATTGCGCGGTGGGCCACGTGGTCTCCACTCACATCGACTCTGGGCAACCATGTGGACAGGTTTGGGGTTTAGGGTTTAGGGTTTAGGATTTAGGGTTTAGGGTTTAGGGTTTCGGTTTAGGGTTCAGGGTTCAGGGTTCAGGGTTCAGGGTTCAGGGTTTAAGGTTTAGGCCAGGACCTCATCAGGTGCACAGCTTTTTGTCGGTCTCGGGGTGTCCGTGCAGAAGTTCTCTCGGAAGACTTCCTAAGCCTTAAGCCATCCTCCTCCAAGGTCCCTCGGTAGGGGGCAGTATGGGTCCCGTCAAGGGTCTCCCCGCATGGGTTCCTTGTGGGTTTAGGGTTTTAAACCCTAAACCTTAGGGTTTGCTTGGGGCCCGGAGTCCTGGAGTGCCTGCTTCCCTGCAGAGCAGGGGACACACCGGGACGACGAATCCGAGAAAAAATGCCAGGGAGGACAGGCAGAGTGTGATCTGGACTATATAGTACTAGAACAAAATCATGGCTTGGACCCAAAGTAAGCCCCTTTAAAAACCAAAAAGGGCACCCTTTGTTTCTTCCCAGGTTACTCCTGACCATGTGGTCACTTCTCTAAAATCGGGTCCCTTTTGGGGTCCTCATTAAAGGGCGCCCCCCCTCGTATTCAGGGTACTCAAAAAGGGACCATAGTTTAGAGAATTGTCGCTGTCATGCTGGAGAACAAAATAATGGCATAAACAAAAGGATGATATGACATCACAACATCATAACATAATAGTACAACCGTACAATAATATAACAACGAAAATTACACGAATGTAATAACATAGTTGCTTACTCATGTAAATGTATTAACATACAAAACAGCATACTAAGATAATAAAGCAACAAATTTTAAAAGAACACAGTTAAGATAATTATGGGCGGGTCATATGCTAGTACCATAGAACGAATTCACGGCGGCTACGCCTCGGAAACTCCGAGGAGTGCGCCTCAAGTGCCGTGACCCTGGCGCTCGGCATCAGCTTCTCGAACGCGATCCAGACGCACGAGGTTCCGTCCGGCTGCATCTACAACTCTCGTACCCATGCCCGGTTCTTCAACTCCTTCCAGGGTGGCAATGTCGATGCTGACTACTACCCAGTGTGCAAGACCGAGACCAACCCGGTGATCATCAACTTCAACCAGGGCGAGTACGACACGAACGTGTGCGGCTCCGGGCAGCCCATCGAGGATGAAGAGCTTTGCCGAGAGGCAGCTGCACACTTTGGCGAGGTCTTCTCCACCTCCGGTTCCTACTCGGGCTACCCACAAGGGTGCTTCAAGTTCCTGAACGGCGACGTCTACTTCAATCGCCACGAGGGAAACCACCCCAGCCCCAACGCAGCCCCGATCTGCGTAGGGTGACCCGGTGACCCCCCCCTTTTGCCTGGGTGGGCAGAGCCGGGCAGAGTTCAGCTTGCAGATCCAGCGGACTCCAATGCCCAGCGTTTTCAACAGGCTTCGCAAAGTTGTGCTGGACTCGGCTCAAAGTGCAAAAGGGCCGACAAGGGTTTAAAGTGTTTATTGAAGGGTGAGAAGGTTTAAAGGTATAAAAGGGTTCAGAGGCTCAGAGGGGTGTAAGAAAGGGGATGTGTGCATGACAGCACACAAGGTAGAGGCATTGATTGGGTCTACCATACGAAGATGCCGTTCCCACGGTGCATGTTGCCGCAATCCGCACGCAGGTTTTATTTGAGTAGTTTTTTTGAGTCTCAGGTTGTTGGTTCATATTCAGTGTCTTGTGATTCCCTCGACTGGCGGGGCTTCCGAGACCTGGCGACCCTACTGAGAAGAAAGCCCGGCCGAGAGGCCTATTTTCCAAGAAGCCTCCCATAACCCTAAACCCTATACGCCCTTACTGAAAAGACAAGGACCCTGGGCCCAAAGCTCCCAAACCCCAAAACCCAAAACCCAAAACCCAACCCCAAACCCTAAACCCTAAACCCCTAAACCCTAAACCCCTAAACCCCTAAACCCCTAAACCCCAAACCCCAAACCCCTAAACCCTAAACCCCTAAACCCTAAACCCTAAACCCTAAACCCCTAAACCCTAACCCCCTAAACCCTGAACCCTAAACCCTAAACCCCTAAACCCTAAACCCCTAAACCCTAAACGCCTAAACCGCTAAACCTCTAAACCCAAAGCCCGTTGAACCCGCCCGAGGAGGAACGTGCATCAGATCCGCGCGACTTCTGGTGCCTTCGCCGCCGTCTGTGCGGATGGAGCCTCGGTTTGAGTGGAGTCAAGTGCGGGGTTTAGGGTTTTGGGCTTAGGGTTTAGGGAAACCCTAAACCCTAAACCCTAAACCCTAAACCCTAAACCCTAAACCCTAAACCCAAAACCCCCAAACCCCAAACCCCAAACCCCAAACCCCAAACCCCAAACCAAACCCAGGGAGGGTTGAGGGTTGAGCGAGGTGTACATTCGGCTGAGCTACTTGCTGTCGATGTCGTAAGGCAACCTGTATAGGCGTCTTTGTAAGCCCCGAATCCTAAACCCACAGCCCTGGCTGCGCAGCACTAAGGCTTATTCTAGGGTTCTTAAGGGAGGGGGGTTCAAGGGAGGTATGTAACCCAAGGTGCAAGGAAGCACCCAGAACTTGATCGCCAGAACCTGCAGAAATGCTTAACTTCAAGATCAACCCGAAACCGTAAACCCTAAACCTTACACGGTTCTTAAGGGAGGGGGGGGTTCAAGGTGGGGTAGGTACGTACCTTACTTTTTAGGGTTCAGGGTTCAGGCTTCTTAAGGGAAGTAGTTACCTAGCAAACCTTGGGAAAGCTTGGGGAGCCTTAAGGAGTAGTGGGGGGAGTATTAGGGAACCTGTAGGAAAGAAGATCCATCCCCAAATCCAGGGCACCCTCAACCCTAAGCCTTGAGCCCTAAACGCGGAACCCCTTAAACCCTGAACCCAAAACCTTAAACCCTAAACCCTAAACCCTAAACCCTAAACCCCTACATTCCTAAACCCTGCACCCCAAGCCCCGTGAACCTTGAAGCTTTGAGCCCCAAACCCCAAGAAATTCTGGATGCTAATTTCCTCCTTAGCCCTAAAGCCCGAGGATCCGGGAAGCCCTATGGACCCTAAAAGCTTTGAGCTTAGGGATTAGGAGGGGTTAGGGCTTAGCGTTTAGGGTTTAAGGTCTAAATCAAAATCTGAAGAGCTAACAACTCGAATACAAGGGCCTTCAGAATTAGAATAGGGTTTTGGTGGGGTTATTATAGTATAACTCTAAACGCCATATTGAATCTGAAACCCCTCCAGCCCTACAGCCCCAAACTCGTGACCCTAAACCCTAAACCCTAAACCCTAAACCCTAAACCCTAAACCCTAAACCCTAAACCCTAAACCCTAAACCCTAAACCCTAAACCCTAAACCCTAAACCCTAAACCCTCTAGTCGCCAAGTGTCTCGCTTCGTGACAGTCCGCATGACCGATTGCATAAATCCTAAAGCCTGAACCCTAAACCCTAAACCCTAAATCGTGGAAGGCTCTGTGGTCGCCTGGGGGAGCACGGCCCACGGCGGAGACTGCCGTGCTGTGGAGGCAGAGCTCGCTGAGGACGAGCTGTGGATTCAGGGTTCAGGGTTTAGGGTCTAGGGTTTGGGGTTTTGGGGTTTTGGGGTTTTGGGGTTTTGGGGTTTAGGGTTTAGGGCTTGGGGTTTAGGGTGTAGGGTGTAGGGTTTAGGGTGTTTTCGGTTTGGGTTGGGGGTCTAGCGTTTTAGGGCTTAGACTTTCGGGGATACTCTCGGCAGGCTGTTTGTCTAGGGTGCTTCTCGGGTCAGCGCGGAGGGAAATGTGCGCTTACGATATTGGGGGCACCTTATTGGGGTCCTTATCAGAAGGGAACCCCAGTCTTTGGGGTGGAAAAACACCCTAAACCCTAAACCCTAAACCCTAAACCCTAAACCCTAAACCCTAAACCCTAAACCCTAAACCCTAAACCCTACACCCCAAACCCCCCCTCCCTCCCCCCCAAAATGGAGGAAGGAGACCCAATCCTCCACCTGATCTTGCAAGGAAGGCGCAGGTCCTGGAACAACCCGGCCAAAGAAAAACGCGAAGCCAACCCCAAACCCTTAACCCTAAACCCTAAACCCTAAACCCTAAACCCTAAGCTCCAAAACCCACAAAAAGCAAAACCAGGCCTCCCCAGGCCACCAAGCCCTACCGCGGAACTGTTCTTGATTTTACATTTCATGTTTTGGGTTTCGGGTTTAGGGTTTAGGTTTTAGGGAGGGGTTCAGGAGGATCAAATTTAGGAATATTTTCAGGTTTGAAAGGGCCAACCTGGGCCAACAGCCAACCTAGCCCAGCCTCCTGACCGGAACTATGCCACTGCTGGGAGGACTCGCGGCTTTCGCGCCCAGGCAGCTTCGAACCCTAAACCCTCAACCCTGAACCCTACACCCTAAGCCCTAAACCGCCTAGGTGGTCGGGTTTAGGGTTTACGGTTTAGTTTCGGGTCCAGGGCTTCAGTCGGTTCAGCCTGCTATATACCCATCTAGCATGAAATGGCTTTGCGATGCTAGGGGCCAAGCCCGAAACCCAAAACCCAAAACCCTAAACCCTGAACCCTAAACCTTAAACCCTGCACCCTCTACACCCTGCACCCTAAACCTTACACCCTGCGCCCTGCACCCTAAACCCCAATTGAGTTCCTGGGCACCAATCCACCACCCAAAGCCCCAAGCCATGTCGAGCCCCTTTCAGCCTCGTCCACCTGACTGTAGCCGTGCAGGCCGTGTTCTCAACGCCACACACGTCCCAAAACCGACAAAACCCCCAAACCTTTGAGTAACCCTTCGACCCCAACCCTAAGGACTGAACCCTGAACCCCAAAAATCCTAAGGCCCTTAAACCCAAGCTGCAGCAGGCGCGAGAGAGGCTCTCTCCAAACGCCGTCGGCTTCGCTACAAGCAGCCGGGATGGTAGCCCAGCAACCTGCCGAGATTTTCAAGAGGGTTCAGGGTTTAGTGTTTCGAGTCCTAAGCCCCAAACCCTAAATATCAGGGTACCCTAAGCCCTAAACCCCAAGTCACTAAGCTCCTAAACCCTTGAGCGTGGCTGCAAGGGTATCGAGGCTACGTGGGCATCTGCGGCCGGAGGCGCACAGATGCCCTGAAGCCCTGTGCAGTTCCTTCCTGAACCCCAACCGCTTCAACCCCCAAACCCCAAACCTTAAACCCCAATCCCTTGCAATCTCAGGGTTCAGACCCAAAACCCGAAATGCAGGAAGCCCCTAGAACCCGTTCCCTAAACCCTAAGCTAGTTTAGGGGACTAGGGTTTCTGAACGCTAAGCCCTACGCGTCTTCCCCTCCCACCCCTTCGAAGAAGATCTCACCCGCGACGAAGCG